ATTTCAAACAATGCAGAAAATTCCTCAAATCTCGTTTCCGTTGAATGTTGGTTTAGAAAATAATCTTAATTTTTTAGATACTAGTGTACTACTCGTATATAATATTTTCACATATTTTCTTCATGTTATCAACGTTTTTGAACAATGCTAATAGTATTATAATCAATATTTGCAAAGCCGCAAAGGTCATATTTTTCTATGTACAAGTATGTATTTATTATTTAAGTTTTTTTTTTGATCGTGCACATTCGACAGTGTTATCGAACTGTGTACCTGAAAGTCATTGCACTTTGAACTTGATTATAAAATATCGGTCATAATTATTAATGTGCTCTCATAACCTATATATACAATATAATAACTTTTTACCCTCGTACATTATACTACATACATGACAAACATTGTTGTTCATATTATGTAAACAACTGCATAAATTTTAGCTGCCAAAGTCCATTAAACATTTTGTTCATATCAGAGAACATTCTCCGATTGTATAACATCTCAGCTTGAGATTAATAATTGATCCTTTTAATACCTATTAATATATTATGAATTATGATATTATAATAATATTATTTGTGTGTGTTTGCGTGTTGTCTAAGAATCGTTGACCGTTTAACTCTATGGAAAATATAATATACGGAGGTATACTGTACCGTATGGTATTTACTATTTCGTGTACGGGCCTGTATATTATTTGTATGCATGTATATGATCTCCAATCAGAGACCCATTTGATTGTTATTGTGGACACGGAGAGACTATAAACAGCCATGTAATTGCCGGACACAATATATATAATTTTTTTCTTCTTTTGACCCGTCAATGCCAAGCATGTATATTATATAATATAATATACATAATAATAAAATATATGCAACATTATTTTTACAAAAAAAAACTGGTTATACGTGTACACTATAAAGCTGATCGTCTCCGCGACATTGTAACAATTTTCTGTCTACTTTAGCTGACCGGTTTTTTAACATAAGTTTTTTTTTTAGTAATATGCCATCAATTGTACCGTGTGTATATGTTCTTGGGGGAATTCGCGCCTCGTTCGGTCCTTTTGTTCGCGAACGATTATTATTATTTTCCGAGATGTGTGTGCGCACGACCCTTGGCCACGTCAAAATCTAACCGGACGTATTCGTGTATTTACATACACATAGACCTAACTAACCAAAATTGGCCGGTATGTTCGCGCCAGAAGAAGCCACAAACAATAAATATATATATAAAAATCATGAATGGAACCCGCGGAGAGAAAGAACGAGGACGAGTAAGAGAGAGAAAAAATGATGCGAAAACGTTTAAAAAACATATAATATACGGGAGAGTTCTTTTGTGCGTCGTATTGTTGGAATAAAAAAGCGAAGGGATTCTGAATAATAACAACAACGAAAGGGGCAAAACGCCGGCGCGTCTTGTTGGTCAGTCACCGGCGGCGACGACGACAACGTCGTCTACGTCACAGAAAACGGACCTCCTGCGGTGTCCGAGCTCGGCGCATTGTTCGTCGTCGGGCTTCTGCAGCCGTTTTCGACACACAGAACGAATCGCGGTTCGCCACTGTTTTTCCGGTCGGTAGGTAGGTAAGATATACTTACATCATGACGTGCTCTATCGCGACGACCTCGAAAACCACTCTCCCTATCTCTCTCCTTCCGTGCGGTCAATGTGCATTCTATAATATAATAAGATATTATATATATATATATATATGTATACACAAGGTATATGGTATTATATCACGCTAATATTATACAATATATATTTCATATTGATGTATTATAGTATAAGACAATTCCAACCAGCGCATCTCGTTGTGGACATTGGAAATAATATTTTATAATATGGTGATAGGACGATATATACGTACTCTACGTAATACGTAGTTGCTTCCTTGTCGCTTTTCGGTTTTTCAGCTTTAAGTACGCCCGTATACTTTTATTACAGACGAAAGTATACGGCCGTTGTCTCCCCAATACACGATATTATAATCGGCTTTTTTTGTTACATAAAACTGTCATGATCCGCCTTCAAAACGAAAATCGTAAAACGAGATTTATAATCTGTTTGTGAACGTGTTTGTGTGAGCACAGTTACTTGTATTACAGTAGAATGTGTATGGTGTGTCTTCCTAGCCCTCTGACGCGTAAACGAATTTATAGCTCGATGAAAAAAACGATTTCGGTTTTTAAATTTTTTTTCTGTAATTTATATAGTTCGTTATTGCCATTTATTAAATTATTATTATGTATTACATTGATGTTATTTGGAAATTGGTTTTATGTAAAAAAAAAATACCACCAGCCAGACGCAATACAGTTAATATTATATAAATTGTATACACAACAATGATGACTGATGAATGATAATTATATTATGCTCTATATGACTATATATGAGAAAATCGATTTTTTTCTGAGTGGTAGTGAAAAATTAAACAAATTCAGTAGCATAGTATGTATAGTATAATACCATCATTGTATACACTCTGGTTATTCAGATTTTTATTCGATTACGGTACATTTCAATATGCACAAGCATACACGCGCTTTCACGGTTTTCATGAAGTGTTTAATGCGGACCGCTCATGAAAAAAGAAACAGACCCTTTAACCTTTGCAACGGTCAAGATGTGTTCACACAATGGAACCACTTAATAGAAATAATGCACGGCAGCGAATAATAATAATATATATATTTAAATAAAGAATCTATTGTTATTCGCAAAACACTCGTTATTTAACAACAAATAACGGGTGTGTATTTTTAAGTACAGAAATAAAATTATTGCTTTTGTGCCGTTGTTGCCGAGCTCGCAGACGTGTGTCGTTAATGTGTGGTAGCAGCGGCTGTGGCGTCGTATGGGTATATTATATGGGTTTCGACGAAAATAAATAGGTCAATTCCATGTCTAGGAGACGGGCTATAAATCTCGAGGCGCCGAATTTCGGTAGGTGAAACTACTATATCTCAACCGAATGTAGCTGTATATAATATATAACACACGATATATTATACACTGTGCGTCAATACACATACATTACAATATATATAGGTGTACTGCACATAACCGACTATATATATTATTGCCACTGCGTGTCGCCTATAGCTGCCAGACGTCGTCGCACCAGAAAGTGAAAACGAATCGCAGGCGCGTCACTTTGAAGGGTCCTCTTCCGTATAAATTTACGGGCACGCACGCACGCGTATGTACATTCATTATTATATATATGCCTTGAGCTCCCGAGGATTTGTATAATCCTGTCAAATGTATAACATAACATTATATTATATTATTATATACCTTGCAGCTTGGTTATAAGTTTTCAAAATAGTTACCCGAATTTGCAGTCTACCAGTATTATACATATATAACGTAATTGTTATTATGTTATTACTTATTACTATACCTATATAATATAATATATTATGTGGCTTGGTTTGGCGCGGTCCGTATACTCAACTGCGGAATCTGCTGTATCGGCCGGTGTTGCTAGCTCCCGGATGGGTGACCACCCGGGATTTTTTTTTAACTCGATTTCTCCCGAGACGTCAAAGTATTCTTTCGCTCCTAGTATAGGTACGTTTGCATGAGATACCATCCCGTTAATTGCCAAACTCAATGTGTTCGAAAGTCGGAGCGCATATCACAAATATTTGTCGTTATAAATTGATCCGTACAAAATGTGATGATGACGATGTTTATAAATTGTATATGGTGTTGGAATTGAAGTATCAGGGCTAATAGATTGTATAGCGATAGCCGATCGCAATGCCAGTGATTTTGATTATTCTGTGGCATAATATGTATCGATAGAGATATTGGAACGATGTCGTGCTGTGTTCATATCATTATAGTCTTAAAAAATAATCTCTATGGAAAAAACGAAATTTTGGCAAAACTATCGTCGGCCACTGGCGGACCACCAACGGACACCATATCACGTGCTTGAGGTCGTTGCACTTGATTTTTTTTTAATTTTGCACTGACGAAAAAAATAAAACTTTGAGAAAACAAAGCTATAAGTAGGCAAGTAGCCCATCTTGAATGAGCCCCGTGGACCACGTCGTGTCAGTCAACGCGTTTTGGCAATGCTGATCAAAAGCTTCACGAGCGTATATATTATAATATAATACACAGATTGGCTGTTTGCGTTGCAGCTCGTCCGTGGCAAACCACAGTAACCCGGTATATAAAGTTGTATTATATTATGTATTATATATAATACCAATAACGTTTTCTGAGCGAAAAATGTAAATATATTGTTAAATGGGGAGGGTGCGCGCTGCTGCAGACGCAGTCGTGGATGAAAACAGGTTGAAGTGCGTAAGAATTTTTCTCATTATTTTTTTCTTGGATGGAAACCGAATAGGGACCAGAGGGGTTATCCTCCTCATGCCACCATGCATAAAGCATACACGCATTGCATGTACATTGTACATACCTATATATTTATTTCTGCAGCACCGCGATACCATACCGTCATAGCGCCTGTGTATAGTGTATACACATTACACATTACCGTACATATATAATATATATATAGTTCATTGTGTTCGCCCCCGCTTTCACAAAATCCCGTTTATCGGCTCGAGAAAAACCTATTACACGGTCGTTTATTTGGCGTGGTACGTATTTATTTTTTTCTCCGTGCGCCACTCGTTGCGAAAAACCACCCTTGCGCCCATCACCACCGCCCTTCCGGTACGTCCTCTTCCGTTGACCCCCTCCAAAAATATATAGGTATTATATTAGAAATGTGGTCGTGTGTGCGCAGGCGGTGGCACATCACAGCTGCGTTTCATAATTACACATGCAAAAATGATTGTGTGCAAAGAATATTATACACGCACATGTATATTATTATATATATTATATTATATACATATAGTATTTTTCCGAGTTTAACCGCCTTTTGCACACCCGATATCACACACATACCGTACCGGTAAAAAGAGTGCTGAGAGTTTGGCGCTAACATGTGCTGCTCACCCGGCCGTGAAAACGACCACGACCTTTCTCACGTGGATGTCGAACACCGCCTCGTCTATATCATACGTGTTGTTTTTAGATCCGACCGGATAGATACGCGTACAGTACAGGTCGAGAAAATAAAATCCCCATTTAAGACCTTCGAAGTCGTCGTCGCCATCGTCGTAGTTACATACGCAAGGAGTTAATCCTCTTGATCCTAACAATGACGTCGACGTCGCGGCAGCAGTAGATTTCCGACGTACAGCAGAGACCCCTTCACTCGGCCGTCGGCCACCCAGCGCTATCCACACACACGAGCTCGCCAGAGCTATCGCTCGCATATTCCCAAACGCGACGGCGAATGAACTCCAACAATGACTCGGCCCGTTCACAAAGACAGACTTACGACGAGGAGTGGTCCCTTTTTTCCTTTCATTTCTTTATTACTCCTGACAGTCATTTGATTCCAACTGTATATACATACACAATAGTATATATACACCATCATAACTCGATTAACCGTTACGCCAACAGTAGATATTAACTGTTTATAACATATATGTACACACGACCGGGTCTGCTCGATAATAAGTTATAATATGATAATGTATACCTACTTAATGAAGCCGTTGTTACACACATACACACACGTGTTTTGCTCGACAGCACAAATGTCGTTTTATTGACTGCGTTTAAACGTTTATTTTTCTTTCAAACATTATACACAGTCTGTGTTTAAAAGTAAAACCCACAAAAATCGTGATGACAAAATAAAACCGGATGAGGTTTAAACACTAATGAAATATTAAAATTTAAAAATTATTTTTTAAGCTGAGTACTTTTATTACCTAGTGATATATAGTATAGTGGACACTGGTATACTATAGTTAACGTTATCAGCCGACCAAGTTATTTATAATATAATATATATGCGGCTTCTAATGGTTGTTTTTTTCCGGGCCTGGAGGCATTATAGGCATGATATCTAGGTGCTTTTTAGTTTTTAATTTGACATTTGTATCTAGCGTGTTGCCGAGCAATTTCATGGTTTTGGTCCCGCGAACTGTGCACACCAGGCATTATGTTTTGAAAACGACAACAAAATAATAACTGTAGTCTGTAGGTATAACTTATATACCTACTGCTTCGAAGCAAAAAAAAATTAGCTTAACGATAAGGAAAAAATATGTGATATTTCATACTGCAAACACGCCATGTGCTGCGTGGAGGTTTCAATAAAACTGTATATTATTCTGATATAGGTACCTATGACATATTATGCCGTGTACTGTAAACAATACCACTACAATACAATTTTGAATTTTACCAGCCGTTGTTTTATGTTTATATTTATGAATTACACCTTCTGAAAACGTTTTAAATAAATATATATAAATTACGCGATGGAAAACACGTCCTATGCACGTGCGCTGTTGATTTGATAAACCTGCGCGAACGTGTGTACGAAGCCAAAACAACGAGACGAAAAAACAAAATTGATAGGTCGAGATTTAGATGGAGAGGGGACGACACGACACGGCCGAGAAACAGAAGAGACGAGAGCATAAAAGAGCAATGACACGGACCTACTGCGCGATTCACTTGGAAGTTAGAATTTTCGTCATGAGAAATGTACAATGAAATAATTGGAAAACCAGAACCTTGATTATCCGCAGTGTACTTACACCAAAACAAGAATGCTATAGGCATCTGCTACGAAGTGTTTATTATAACGCTTTATTTTTTTTTTTTTACATTGGTGTACAAGATAAAATAATATACTTTAAATAAAGTTTTATCATATAATTACTGTTTCTACAGCTAGGTCCTAGGACTACAAAATGTACTCCCATCAGAGATTTTCACTTTCAATCGAATGTTTGATTTCGACAATGGAAATGAGTAAAATATTTATATTACAGACAATATATGTTAAAAAAAAAATGTCGATACAGCGATAATCCGAAGAACTGTATCATTATAACGTGTCATGTAGTCATCTGTAATTTTTAAAACAATACGGCTGTCTATACGTCTTATGCACTGTTTTTTTAATATCATACTTTTTAGTTATTTTTTAGTTTAGCAGTAGAAAATTGTTCTTTTCTATTTATCGACATCGCAGTTGTTTCACACGGTAGTTTAGTAAAAAAAATACTTCGTTGATATTTATAGAACTTAGTGCTGTGAATGTTATGAGAAAATAATTCCGATATTACATTATGAAACTATCGGATTTGTTATGTAGGTGGACGCGACGAGAGATATTTACGGAACCTTTTTTGCGATACATCGACATAAAACAACTTTGACATATAACATAATAATATTATGCTCAGCACAGTCAGCACCCACTCGGGCCCATCGAGCATATTTTTAATAATAATATAAACACGTCTAGGTTGCAGTCATGGGCTTTCGCGCGCAGATGTATTTTATGCAGACGACAAGTTATACTTGTTACTATATAGTTAGACGTGTTTTGCTCGCATGTTACAATCTTCCGTTTCTTCCATTTCTTCTCCTTCGTCGTCATCTTCTACTCGTTATTTTCCTGAAACTATTTCCATCTCTCGTCCACAGCAGAGAGACCGTCTAGTGCGTGCGTCTTGAGCGCTGGAAACGTAGAGAATGACTCGACAAGGACATAATAATATGATAATATAATAAGGATACGCTCTGGACCTATTCGTGATATGTACATGAGTTTATTTTACATTACATATTGTATTGCATTATAATATAATATTTATATCTTGTGCGTGCGTAATAATAAAACATATTATACGACCTACGCGACTGTAACTGCAGTAGAACAGTATAGCCCATCGCCCATGTTTATACCACGAAGTATTATATTCAGTGATATATTGTAGCCCGTAGGTACCTATTAATTAATATTAATGTATACATATATTATATTACTTTTATTCGCTCAGCCAGTGGTATCTCGTGAAAACCGTGTTTTTCCGTGGCTGCAACGATCCAGGGGCTGTATTGCCCTGGTCAGATTTTATGTCCGATTAAACACGATGTAACGGATTTTAGTTTTTTTTCACCGTTCCCACCCAAAGGATATTTGCCACACATCTACATAATCCGTATGGATGATCGCCGCGTTGCATAAAATAATTTAGTACTGCAGTGTGCATTACTGCATTATACATAGCTCGTCTATAATATATACGTGGCAGTGGGCGAAAAGACAAAACGGAAAAAAAAACTGTGAATACAATATTATAATACTTAATATAAGGGGTGCACAACCCAAATGAAAGAATATATACGATAAGAAAACTCTCGGACCGGAAGGAATCATCGGCGGCGGGGGTGTACGCGCGTTAATAGACGTGTCAATCACATGGCTAATATCATAATGTATAGGTGTACAAACCCTCTTTGCGTGACCAGGTGACTGCCCTAGGGGTGGGGGATTGGTGGGCGTCGGGCGCGGGCGTGTGGGAAAAAGACGAGCGTATAATATAGGTACGCATAATACGAAGAGGATTGCGATTACGACGACGTTGGTTATAATATTATAGTATGGTATATAATATGCATAATATAATAATATGTGCGCGTATGTGTGCAAGGAATTTTACACGGACAAAAATATGCGCGTTCATTGTTTAAATCGGAAACCGGACCTGTCGTTTTGTGTTCGGGTAATGGCCCGTGAACCCTTTTCGTTGTGAAGGGTATTTAAACGACTCCCTCGTCACCGCTGCCGCCGCGTCTCGTTGCCCCTTGTTGACGGTTGTTAATAATAATCCTTTACCCGCGCGCGCACTCGAACGTACAGCAGACAGCTTAAATATATTTGGATTTTTATTCCAAATCGTCGTCTAAGTCGTTTCGCGTCGATAAGACGGACGCCGTCATCGTGACTTGCACAACAACAATATCGTATTATATTTCCGAAAGATGAAAAATAACCCGGCCAAATCTCGTCATTCTCCGATCGTAATGTTATATAATACTCGCCGCCGTTCGCGCGAAACGTCTGTTGCCATTTTATGTATACAATAACCCTACCGCTGGTGAATATATTTATTTGAACTTCCATGGCGCCGCCGTCCGTCGTGCAGAGTGCGGTCGTGGTGGCAGCAGGCACGGTCTGACGGGTCGGCGGAAACGGTTTATTGATTTAAGGGGCGCATTTGTAGAATATATAGGTACGTATAGCTATTTTGGTCCTGCGTCCCTTGACGGAGGTTTCACCGTTCGCCGTTGTTATAGGAGGTCATAAACGCTCGTTAGACGGAATGTTCACTCTTTTAACTGTTATTGTTATAACCCCGCAGTCGCAGTATTCTCGATCCTTGTGCAACAGTGGTGATATAGTATAATATGCGGCATATATATATAGTATATACCTATACGGCTATATACTCTCTATATCCTTTCCGGGAGCGATACGGTTTCCACTGGAGCTTTCATATTAATTTGGTGGATAATTTGGTCGAGTACCTAAGGGGTACACGATTCCGATGAAGGATAGACCACATTAGAAGACTTGGGATCTGTATTTCGGAAATATAGTGGAATCAAAATGAGTATTACATTTTGCTTCGTTATATAGTATAATAGTTTGCGCTACTCGAATGTATTATATTGATCAAAATAAATGACAGGGTACTCATTACGCATGTCTATTTTGTAGAGTGGGTATGAGTTCCTACTGAACTACAACTGCATTGAAATAGTTGAGTATAAAATGCAAAGTTATTAAAGTATTTGTATAATATCTGAAATATCTGGTAAACGTCTGTCACGCCAACGCACTTGCATATTATAAGACGCTGTGTTATAAATACAATATACATATATATATATATACTTCCCGAGTTACTACACGTTACGGTATTATTAAAGTTCACTCTACGTAAAAACTTTTAAATAAAAATATACTCTGTATAGATAGGGGTGGGAAAAACACGCTAGACTTGAGGCGTCTACAGTACCACTGCAGCTCACGTCGTAACGACAAGTCGTTCCGGGATGACTCTTTGTCCTGTCACAACTCTAAAGGCATTATTCGTTTTATTATTATCGTAGTCGCCGCCTTGTAACAGATAGTGTGAAATCAACAAATAAGAGCCGAAACGAACACAAAACGTGGAGAGAATATATATACAATATACGTATAATACTGCTATAATAATATGTAGTATGCATCTATATAGTAAATGTCTACTGTACCTATATAGTGGAGTATAATATGTCTATATGATTGTATACATATATACACTAGTGTGAACGCCTATCATTATGTATTTAATTATTTTCCTACCAACATATGTTGGTAACGTGCACGGCGTTTGATGTACAGAGTCAGAGT